TTCTTATRAGACTTTCCAATTATATAGAGCTTTATTGCAGTACAAATACTAAACTAATTCATTTTATCTAATATCCTTGAAAAGTAGTTAAAATAGTGTTGTTTGCTTCACAAACTAAAGCAAGGARAGGTTAAGTGCCTTGCCCTAGCTCTGAATCTGAGTGCCACAGGAGCTGTAAGACTCAYTATTGTACTTCTAAACAACACCCATTAATACACAAAGCAAAATTCTGAGAGGTTAAGAAAACTGCTTTCTTACTCTTTTTGCAAAAAAACAGTCAGGCGATACTCCATTTGGTGATAGGGCAGAAGGATATATTATATACATTATTTCAGAGAAACGTATCCAAGATCCCAAACCAACCCAAGGATTTTGTGYTCATTACAACAAAATTGGGATTGATGTATTTGGATCAATGAAATTTATCCAATACTAGGTGAAGACCCTCACAATGTAGTGAATTACATGGCTTCAGGTTCCATAAAACATATCCTGTAGTCAAAATAACCAATGCAGCTGTAGCAGCAGAGGGTCAGGTCGGAAAGCACAAGAGTCCCAAGGGGATGAACAAATGCTGTAACACARGAAGAAGTGAACTTCACAGCCTCATTGCCTACCCTTGCTGGGCTCCAACAGGTTAAGGGTGGTATGGGTACACATACCACAGCTCAGCTATGCTTTTGCCTTCTGGAAAAAAAAATTATTCTACAGGGCCCAGATCTTCAGCACCTTGAAGGGCTTACACTTTTTTTTTTGTCAGATCTACACTGCAAGATTGATTAGTCCAATTGTTATTTTTACCCAGGCCTGACTCTTTGAAATCCAGTGCAGCCCTTGCCAGTGTCTGCTGATGCTCTGAACAGTCCAAACGGGCTCAAAACCCTCAGAGTTTATGCTCACAACAGACAAGATGAAAACTCTTTTCCGCCTGTAAGGCACTAAAGTTGAAAGTTGAAAATACCATATTCATGCCTCACAGGAAGCCTCTAGCAAGAATGGCAGCTGAGCACAGATATTCCAAGCTTCAATCTGGAATTTTGGACACAAGGTCTTACTTCCTCCCTGAATACTGTGTKTTACACTTTAGAGATGCCTTTTTTAAAGAGTAGGCAAAGTAACTTGTTCATGGGCTGCTGATGCTTAAAACCACAGACATTTCTTTCTGATTCTATGGTCAGAATTTTCATCAAAATGCAAACCTCAGAGAGGCAAGGGCATTGTAAATGGTGTTATGAAAATACTCTCAATAAAAGCTCAGGGCTTGATGCTACATTATTCAGTTATGTACTTCTCTAAAATAAGAAAATTTAGAAACATCTGTGCAGACTTGCTTAGATCTTATATGGCAGAGTATGTAGAAAAAAGCCATCTGTAAACCTTTAAACTGACTTTAAATGTTCATTTGACTATAATTATTTCAAAGGATTGATAAAAAGTGTATTTTAAGTTAGAAACAAATTAAAATTTTAGGAAAGAAAACTCAGAGGCTATTTTATTGTCTTTACATCTCTCTTTAAAATCATATTAATTTTCCTTTCCAACACTATTTTATTGTATTAAAATATAACCATGCTAGAAAAAATTCTCATTATTAGAAAAAATGAATACAAGGTAGATAGTATACTAACACAATGACTGTAATCTGCTAATACAATAAGGYCTTCCTATTATGTTTAAACAAGAATCCAGTTCTTGATCATTTTGACATAGTTTGAAAACACTGTCTCAAAAGGGTAAAATGTAACATTTTTCTATGCTTAAGAAAAAGTTTCTTATGTCTTCATTTACTGCTAAGAATACCAGACAAAAATGCAAAATTTATGTTGTAGTAGATTTCATTTCTGCTCTACGAAAATGTGTGTATTTTGTAAAAATAAGCAKGTAGAGGATTATTTATGATTAGCTAAATGTGGCTTCAAAACTATATGCAAAGTACTAATTCAGGCCTTCTGCATGTTCTATAGCTGTCTGAAAAAGAGAATTGCTGTGAGAAGCTGCCATTAGGACCTGGCACATACACAGCTATCAACTTTTCTGGTATCTGACAACTCTGRTCACTTCTGTGACTTGCACTCATTAAGAGAGTTTCAAAAAGCACTCAAAAYACATSTCASAAAGTWCACTACAATAACTGGGACTCACAAYAGTATCTGTAAATATCCAACAGCAGGTAAAGGAAGGGGAGATAAAGAGAAAATTGCCTGAAACCMAACAAATCAGAGGCATTCTGAAAGATTCAAATTAAACTTGATGTTACATCTATTTGGAGTAGTYCTTCCTTCTAAAGTTCAAGTAGTTTTTAATAATGGCACAAAAAATATTTACCCTGTAATTAGTRTGTTGTGCCAGTTTGATGTTCCACAGGAATCTCAGAGGCATGACTTGTTTCATTCATAAGAGTCATTGTTTGGCAGGTCTCCAGGACAGGAATTCAAGTGAGAAAGGAAGTTAGATCAGTTGACCAAAAGGAAATAAATCAGATTATTTGAATATTTGCTCAATGGGGAACAGAAAATTGCCATCAGAAGAATTTGACACTGAATCAAGTGCTGGACACAATAGCAGCCCTCACAAAATTGATGTAGGGACATCRGGGTTGGTCACAAGGTTGCACTGCCTTCTATTTTCTTCTGCAGATAAAATACTCTACATATTGTTTCAACAAAAAGCCCCAAAACCAAYAGTAAATTGCAAATTCTGATAAGAAGCCAACAGTCGCTTTTGTAGTTTCAGCAAGCACTGACTTTGTGAATTCAAATACTTCCAGACTGATGAAAGTGAGGCAACAGCTCTTGTCACCATTTTTCTCATGGATAAACCTGGGAGAAGTCAGAATTTTTTTGTGGGAGAACTGGAGATTATCCTGAAAATGTGGCTTTGAAATCAACAAACACAATTATTTTGCAATTATAAAATGAAGTTAATGTGAATATTTGAGTACTTCATTTGCGTGCGCTACCAGTGCCATTCTTGCTACAAATTGGGGCCCAGTGTCTGGATACAAATTGTGTCATGAAAGTAAATTTGCCTTCTGGAAACATATCCCTATCCAACATATAAATTTACAGGTAATAAAGACGTCACACACCTTTCAATTCTTTGAGTGCGTTCAAATTTGRTCTCCTTAAGAAAATATCATGCAGCCTAATGGTCTAACAACTCCCTAGAAAAAATGGCAATGAATACCCAGTATCAACACAGTTATTAATTACCAGCTATCTGTGTACCAAATACAACTATTCCATGTAAATAAAATAACTCTCTTAAAAATTGATTTCCCAGATGAGAGGAAAATCTAGTTAGCAAGCTGAGTGTGAAATTTACATGTAGTTCATGAAAAAGTGATTACTTACGGAATTAATTGATTTTCGAAATGAATCTGAGGATGCAATATCATGGCGTAAAAAGGAAAACAATCTGAAGATCTGATTTATGTCCATGAGAAAGGCATTTAGATATTCCTCCCATGCACAGCCAATCCCAGAAGCTGGAATCCACCAAGAAATCCCTACTAAAAGCCATATTCCCTATTATCCATCTCCATSACATTTGTCCTTTTCTCATTTCCCTCATGTTTGTCCACATGTGGGTTGTGTCATGACTTAGGGTCAGCAATTCCTTTCTCAAAAGTCTCATTATCATATTGAGATATAGTTTCCAACCTGTCAAACTGCCACTTAAAAATGCATCTTCTCACAAATTATTTCAAAGACAGGAAACCTGCTGTCTTTCAGACACGTTTCAGTGCTGGTGATGCCAGCCTTACCCCTTCATTTCTTCCTTGCCATCTCCATGTGCTTCCTTTCCTGCTGCTCCTTGTAAACAAAATATCCTTGCTAAATCATATTCAGWCTGCTTCTAAATACTCGTGGTGTCTGCCTCACCTATGAAAGCTGAAAGGACAAGGTCTAATAGAATCTTTCCGATAAACAAATCCTTTGCTGAATGTTCTGCATGGACATTCCTGAGGAGTTTCTAGSAGCTCTTTCACATTCTTAGAGAAGCTTAAGGAAAATGTGAGCTCTGATGCTGACAGACAATCCACAACCTTGTAAGATCTGTGATTGTGTTTTTGAGGTTTTCTCTTTACCCCATTAATCCAAGGCACTAGTGGGAACTTTGGAAGGATTTTTCAATTCTTGAAGAGTATGATCCTTGTCGCTTTGTCCCAGCATAAACATTTTGGCGTAGCTTAACGATCAGGCTTACTTTTGGAACAGATGCCGTAATTCTTTTATGGCAGCAAGGATTGCTGTACATCTTGATCCCTGTCTTTCTTCTGGAAGGAGCACAAGCCTGATAAGGAGCAGCTGAGCAAGCTGGGGGATTTGAGTCGGGAGAAAAGGAAACTCAGGGGGGACCTTTTTGCTCTCCACAACTCCCCAACAAGAGGGTGCAGCCAGGTGGGAGTCCGGCTGTGTCCCCAGGTAATAAGGGACAGGATGAGAGGAAATGGCCTTATGTTGCATCGAGATTTGGGCTGGATATTAGGAGTAATTTCTTCACTAAAAGGGTGCTTAAACTTTGGAATGAGCTGTCTAGGGAGGTGATGGAGTCACCGTCCATGCGAGCGTTCAAGGAAAGAACGGACGTGTCACTCGCTGCCATGGTACAGTAGGACTGGGTCATAAGTTAGACTCGGTGATCTTGGAGGCCTTTTCCATCCTCAATGATTTAAGGACGCTGATAACCTCCCCGCGGGCACCAGTTGTTCCCCTCAGTCCCCCGGCACACACCCAGCGCGGCGATTCACCCCACACTGCCCTCACTGCCCTCACAACCCAACCCGGCCATGTTTCCCCGCCCCGCCCGGGGCCGCCCCGCCCCGCTGCCATGGCAACCGCCGCGCCCGCTGATTGGCTGCGCCGCCCCGCCCAATSGGCGCGCGGGGTGTTCCGGCGGTGCCAAGATGGCGGCCAGGTAAACACGGCCGGGGGCGGCGGGCGCGGGGCCGGGCGGGGGCTCTGAGGGGGCTCCGGCAGCGCTCCCGGCCGTGCGGGGCCTCGGCGGGCATTGCCAGTGCTGCTGGCCCTGCGGGGACTGGGGGGATGGCGAGTGCCGGCTGCCTTCCCTCAGGCCGTCGTGGAGCCGCGTTTCTTTTCGCGTCGCTGCCTCCGGAGCGGGTCCTCCTCACTACCCCGGCCTGTCTCTTCTCTGTCCCCGCCCGGCGGCGAGGGGAGGTGGTTGGCCTGTCCCGGGAGCTGTCCCTGTGGAGGCACGGGAGACGTTTGCTGCAGTGTCGCTCCGAACCTGAAAGAAGCTGTAAGCAAACGCATAGGGGCACAGCTTTAAAGGACRAGGAAGAGGGGGATAAAAGAGCCAATAGTGTCAGCCTGTGTACTCAARTAATCTGCTTGTTTCTGAAATAGTAAGTATTAGAAGCTTTATAATATGCTTGTCTAAAACATGTCATGATAGTTATGTAAGAGAAGCTAAAATATTTCTGATTTCGTGATATGTTGTTTCTGTTTCTCTCCTYTGCAGGTTGTTTTTGTGTTGGGATGGGTAACCTGGTGTCTTCTCRCTGACTTGAAGTGGTTTGGACTTGTTTAACCTGCAAGATGTGGAGTGGGCTGTTACCTCCAGGACTGAATGAAAGTGATGTTGATCTRAGTTCTGATGATGGAGACRAATCACCTGATTCCAGTTCAAAGCAAGAYGCAAAAGAAGATACTGAGAGAGTTCAGGGGACTGGAGAGGAGAGTAATGCCAGTAGTGGACCTGTTGTGGTACCAGTGACAGAGGAAGAAAGTGAATCTCAGATGTGCCCTCCTGGAGTTTCTGTAAATATCTGGAATGTATGTATCATTACAGGTCTCCAAATGACCATAATGCAGTGTACTCAAAGTTGAATGGCTGATACTCTGAATATACAAATCTGAAATGAGATAAAATATGATCTGAGTACGTACACCTCAGATGRTTTCAAGCAAGGTGAACAGGGATTTAGRAAGGAAGTKATTAGGTAGTTTGGTGGTTACTGAAAGCACARCAAGGAGTTGTCATAACTATACAGTTGCATAAAACTTGTGTTTTCAGTGGTTTATGGGCTCTGAGCAGTTTGGTAGGTGGTTTCTGCATTAGTTAGGATTTACTGCTCAGTGTATCAGCCACTTTAGGAGGGCTGCATACCTGGAGACTGGAGGAGTGACCTGCTGCTTGCTGTCAGGGTTAATTGCAGGCATTCAAACTCAAGAGTTCCTTATAACCTCCTGATTTTGCAGTTGCATGTAAAGACTGGGAAAAAAAACAACCCTTAACAAAACAATCTATGGCTTTAGGCTTTGGATTCCAAATAAGAATTGGCAAGAAATAGTTGCTCTCTTTCATCCATCAGTCCTTGTGGTAGCCTGCTGTGCAAGGACCATACTGTCACTCATTTGTGGATTGCAAAGTACCAGCAAGGCAATAACAAGACATGGAATAGCTCAGGAGTGCACAGCCAGCAAAAGTGTGGTCTGTGTCACATCCCGTGAGAGAGCTGTCAGATTTGAACAGTCCTGGGATGTAGKGAAGGAAGCAAGTCAGAGAGAGGTGATGAAAGTTTAGCACCAATTCCAGTTTAACACCATCAGAGTTGGATGTTCTTGATGTATAAATTCAAATTTATACACAAGGTACCGTGGATAAATTTGATACTGTGACAGCATTTCTGTTTGTATTAAAAATGGGGGGGAAAATTAAAAATACTGACTTGCTTTTTCATAATCTTGTAGAAATTTGTGGAGCTTCAGAAGAAACACCGTGAAATGAAGATGCAAGCAAAAGAGGAAAACAGATGCCGAAAAAGAAAGCGTCGCCGAAAAGGTGATTTTTTTATAGTTAACAGAATTTACTTTTTAAAAAATCRAATTAGTATCAAGACATGCTGCTTTGTGGGGTTGGTGTTTTTTGGTTTTTGGGGTTTTTTTGGTGTGTTGTTTTGTTTCTTTCGGGTTTTTTTTTAAATGAAGAATTGAATGCCTTAGTAGAKGTATTCTAGCTGTTATCTAGGATTTTATTTTTCCACTTGTATGTGGGACTTACGAAGTTGTAGTGAGATTGTAGGTTGCTACATAAAATTCAGGCAATATATTTGTCCTGTTTTTAAAAAAGAAAGCAGAACCTTTTCAGTTAATCCTGATTTATAATGGTTTAATGTATTTCAGTAGTTCTATAAAACTTACTTTCGTATATTCCTGTTAATACTTCACAGATATTGTAGGAGTTACTTATGGCTCAGTGGTTTAAATTCACAAGATCATTGGGTAAAAATCCCAGTGTGTTGATCTTTCAAAGGAAATGTGACCAATTAGGGCTCTGTTAACTTCATTGGATGCTGTGGGGTATTACTGTGTAATGCTGGATTTTTCTTTTTTTTTTTCCCCCCTTAGCAAAACAGAAAAAGACCGATGAAGTGGCTAAGAGGTATAACCAGGTCAATGGGATTACCTGAGGTCTGTTAGTAGCAGGCAGAACTTGTAATAAGCTTGACCACRTTCATAGCCAAAGCCTAGCTTTGAGCACTGTGTAAAAATATCTTTTAGATTTGTTCAGTGCCTGTTTTTCAGGCTGACCTTGTACCACTGATTGCTTGATGGASTGTTATTACTTGATTTTTAAAATCAACGCAAATATGATATTTAATGTAACTTATAATAGACTTAATGTTTTACCTACTTAGTTTTGGATGTAACTTCATACAACCTCCTGTCAGCCTGCTCCTTCCCTTCTTTCTGCTCCTTGGCAGTATTAGGTTTGTGGTTGAATTCAATCTTAAAGRGCTTTTTCAACCTAAATGATTCTATGATTCTATCAGCTTGCTTTCAAGATTGTGAAATTGCACTTACAGAGGGGAGGGAGTAATTAATTTCACTTTAATTAAAAACTGAATGGGTGAAAAGACCATGTCTGCCAAATACAAGAGTTTATTTTAGCATTGGAAAGGATATTATTATAACTTGTGGAAAAGGAAGTGGTTATATTAATGACTTGTTTGTTTGTTTTTAGTAGTCAACAGTTGGAAAATGAAGACAAATGGAAAGAACTTACACAATACTTTGGAATCAATGATAGATTTGAATCACCTGTGGACAGCAGGGCTCCACAAAAGGTGACTGTTAATACAAAGGCAGTGTCAGCTTGTGTTTGGCAGTAAAAGAACTTGACCTTAACTGAGACAGGAATAAAACGGAAGCTATTTCAGAGCAAAGGATCAACTTTTTCAATAAATGTCCTTGAATGGTTGCTGTGCTTTCTTTTTAAGACAATATCCAGGCTTGTTTTCTGTCTGATTTTGTTTTCTCTTGTTGTGAGAGACAGGGCACTTCATATATGCTGTTTGACAGTGCCTTTTCYTTTGTTTCATAGTGTTTTAATTTTAAAACGTGTCACGTAAATACTTCAGTTCATACCAGTGGCTACAAGAATCAAGGCCCATCATACATTTTGACTGGATTCATARCACTTTCTGTTCATAAATATTACTGTGTAACTAGTCATATCTGAAATAAYAGTTACATGTGATGGATAAGTTAAGAATTGCATTATATTGTGACTTTCTGGTAATAGTGTTGGTTATGTAGTTTTTCTGATAAAGTTCAGTGTAAGTTCTATGACATKAAATGTTCAGTTAGCTTCCTTTATGATAAATTTTGTATTTTTCATTTTCCTAAAGTAAGTTTCTACATGCAGGTCACGAGGATTTGTTTGCTTCTTACTTTTTGTGACTATTTAGTTGTCATTGAACTGCCCAGGATAGATCTGGAATGATGTTGAAAGTGTTAAATTGCACATGGTTTCCTTGTARTTTCAGGGATTTTATCACTAGTGGAAGATACGTCTCATTATTTTCAGAAAAAAACATCTTAACAGAATTTGCTATCACTGCAACTTCCAATTGTGTGGCTTTTTTCATCTACCACCTGAAATAATTCAAGTGCAGTATTTGCAGATCGCTGTTTCTCAAGAATTCCATTAGCTTTTTCAGTTTGATCTCTTAAAATAAAAGTATGTTATGSAACTGTCAAATGTGTTTTCTTTAGCTTCACTAATATTTAAAACCAGTGAGGCTGTAAATTGTCTTTTGTTATGAGAATGAGTTTTTTTGTGAAATTGTGAAGTCAGTGCCTGCTGCTGTGCTACCCTTCTGTATTCCATCTGAAGTTTCCAACTATAATTTCCAGGAAATACTTACTTTTTACTGTTACATTATTTGTCAGTGTTGCCATTAAACAAGTTGTGTTTACCTTTGGAAATAAGAAAACATCCTTTAAATCCTGAAGCTTTTCCATTGTTTTCTATAGGGCTGCTAGATTTTTTAATTTATTAGCACAGTAGAGTGGCTTTGTGCCAGAACTCTGTTTTTTGGATAAAGATAAGATCTTAGAACTGTAACGRTACAGTGGTAATTGCCATTCTTCATGTTACCTGACACATATATTTCACATTTTGTTTAGGAACCTCCAGGGATGGAAGAGATAAGCCAGATCTTCAGATGAAATTTTATTGTGACAGGCATAAACTAGCCCGTGTAATTTTTTTAACCTATAGTATTATCCTGCACATAAGGTGGAACTAATGCAATGATTTGTGCTCAGGCGGCCTCTCAGTGAATTCTTAATTATACTGTCCATTACAAAACACAGACAGAGTGATTTGTGGTACACAGAAATTACAGGTTTATGCAGTGTCTTAAAGAATTTATGAAAGAAATATTTTTAGAAAGGAGGTACTCCCTTTAAATATTTTCTTTTTGTTCTAAAGGTATTTGCCTTTTTTTTTTCCCTAGTCTGGCCTTGAACTGAGCATAGAGAAGTGTGTGGCTGAAGGTGACATTGCCAAGGCTGAGGAGCTGAGTGACAGATTGGCCATTCGTGAGGTAAGTGGGCTGTTAACAAAAACTCTGAGGGGTTATTTAGTTTTGCACATCTGGACTAAMAGTGTCATGACTAAAAATAGCATTGAAGATTGTTTGCAGCATCTGTCCCATTTCCTAAGCAGATTCCTGTCAGTGATTGACATTGCTGCTGCTCTAGCAATGCTTGGACAGCTGTAGCTGTGTTTAAGAATTGAAAATATAGCCATGAACTATCCCAAGTAACCTTGCTTTAGAGCCTTGCTGTCACCCCACAAGTCACAGGAGTTGGTAACTGTCATCTGTATTGAGCTTTTGATTTTTCTGCATGTTCCAAGCCAAGACAACAGGAATAGGATTTCTTTTCCTGTCAGTTCCCTGTGGATCATATTGCTTTTTCCTTTTCCCAATAAGCTTGGGAAGCCTGAAGAGAGGTAGAGATTGAGCAAGCCTAGAGCAAATAAGAACATATGAACCCAAGTTGTGTGCCAGTACTTTTCTTCCTGTGTATTTGTGTGGTCAGGAGTCGAAGGCTGGATGAATGCTGAAGCTGAATGGGAGTAGATGGTTGTCAAATACACTGTTGTAGCCTTAGAATTGTGGGTTTTTCTTTTCTCCTTGTCATAATTGTTTAATATCTAAATACAAAGCTAAAAACAAATCCAGAGAAACACARTTTTTTCAAGATGTTGTCTTGTTAGTTGATGTAGCTGAGTAATTTCATGAAAACTGTGCTCTGCCACAAAAATGGGACCTTTGAAATCTGTTTGTAGTGCTTAATGAATACTTACAGCTGGTGAGGAATCTATCAGATRACTGATAATTTCATTTAAGAAATTGTAAAATTGGTGCACTTAGGTAGATGGTAGCAGCTGAAGTAAGTAGCTAAAGTTCACAAGGTCTGTTGTGCATAGGGGAGAAAATGAAGAAGAAAAAATTAGGATAAAAAGATTGTTGAATCCAATGAAGAAACAAAACAAGTACTGTTTGAGTGAGTGGAGAAATTATTATTTTTAAGTCGTGAGTTGTATGATTTAACTAAAAACCTAGATTTAGACTAAAATGATATAATTTTTGCTTTCATTCCTTTATCTTGCATATTTTTCTGACTTCACAGAGGTAATGGGAAATTTCTGTCTACTGTATATGCTTSCAAAATTCAAAGGTGTTAGAAAAGGATTAGGAAAGCAAATTTTGACTGCTTCTCATTCTCATACRAATATTTTAAATGTTTCTTAAATACAGTGTTTTAAACTAAGCTTTAATGTAAAATTACAGATTTAAATCTGTTTAATGCAGTGTATTACAGTATTGTGATAGCTTTAAAAACAGCTGGCTTTTGAAGTGGGAAATACAGYTCTTAAGGTTCTCAGGGTTAGGTAAAAGTAACTGTTCCTCAGTGAGTGTTCTTACAAATCATTAAACTCCTCCATTTAGTCACTCARGGCACTTTCTAATGACTCGACTCTTATCAGCCTTGTCACCAGTGATCACAAAACTTCAGTCTGCAAAGATAACAGCTATTGACAGTGGTAGGAATGTGTCCTGATGTTCCCTTTAAGTCTGACCAGCTTCTGACTGTTATATTACCTTTCATGTATACAACATGAAAAACACTTGCTGTTCTCCTTCACAAATGTCATTATCCATCTCCTCTAAAGTGGTTGGAGTATTATAATCAATAAAACATACTGAGGTTCTAGTGMAAATTGTTTGACTATAAAAACAAATTAATGTAAGAAGTTTTAAGGTTTTGTAATATTTATGATAAACTGTTATCTGATTTTGGTAGCCATGGGATTATACAACATCTAGCATATCCCAGGTGCTACAGCAGTGTATTATTATTTGTGGAACATTAGCTCCAAATTGTTGACTTTCAAATATTAGCATGTTGTAATTCTGAAAACAAAATGCTTGAAACATTATTAGTATTCACAGCTTTGACTTGGTTTTGGTTAAGTGGGTTTATCTGAACAAATAGTATGTTGAAAGAAGGAAAACTCAAATGACTGGCTTGATCTCTCAGGAGGAGTTTTGTCGAGGCAGAATCCATGTGAATTCACTGGGGTTCTTTGCTTTTGTAAAGATGTGCTCCATTGCTCACTGCAAGATTCATTTTCCTTTGTGATTTTCAGAAGCTTTTTTTTTTTTCCTAAGGAAATTTTCCTTTGTGATTTTCAGAAGCTTTTTTTTTTTTCCTAAGGAAATGGTTTTAACAGTGACTATTTCAGTGAAGAGCTATTAAAAAAAATTTGATTATGGAAGAGGTTGAGCAATCATTGTTCTATATACAAGTACAGTTAATAAATCATTTCTTTCATGTTGCATAGTGTTGATTCAATTGCTTACTTTTCTTCTCTTAGCAATTTACAGAAGTGCCCATTTTAAAATACAGTACCTCTAAGAAGTGAGTTAATTTTTAAATTATGTGGCTATTTGTGTCCCTCTAACTTCTGTGAGCTAGTCATGGCTCTATACTGTGGCTGTATTGAAGTACCACTTCTGAAGTCTGGAGTAATAAGTGGATGAATTATTGTTCTTTTATCTCAACTTCATCTCTTTATGTATAGTTTTCATTTTTCTTGAGCGGTGTTACAGGGCTGGGGACAGAGAGTGTGTGAGAAACAGCTGTCTTGTGTTTGGGGTACAGCCCCCCTTGCAGCCATGTGAGAAATGTTCAGTGGGTAGGTGTTCTTTTTGAAATCAGGTGTATGGGGTTTTAATCGGCACCATTTTCTTTTGCAAGAAGCAGTGACTGGAACCTGCTGATAAAGCTTTTGCTTTGAGGCACAGATCCCAGAGTTCTTAAAGCCGTTTCCTGCCTTAATAAGTGAAACTAATTTTTGATGTATAACATTTATAAGCCTGTGAAACTGATAGGGCAGCTTCAGTATTTAGAAAAATGAAGCCAAAAATAAACAGATGATGAGTATAGACGGTAAAAACATGTCCTAAAAAGCAAAGGAATGTCAAAATGATGCTGTCAATATCCTATCATTATGACACAGTGAGAAAAGGTTTTTTTTAAAATCAGATTCATTTAAAATCAGTGATGACTTAGGCAATATGCATAATCTAGTAGCTGTCAGTGCATCACAGAATTTTACATTCTAAAATTCTAAATGATACCGCTTCAAGGTTTTGGGTCTTTCTTCAGGTTTCCATGTGGTACTTGTTGCAGGTTCTTTAAGGAAAATGTTATTGCACTGCAGTAAATGTGGCTTTGGGCACTAGATAGTTTGTCGTTTTCTTTGCTTTGAAAAATACATACAAATGGTGACTTTAAAACAAAACTTCTCGGTCCGAGAGTATTCTGGGTTTTGGAGTGARGRTTAKAACCTGGATACYTCCTGCATGAGGCTGYATTTACTGATGACWGCATGTGTGGGGTCATATGTAGCTTTTGAGACTGCCTGGTGTGTTCCTCCTTTTTATTGGCATTTGCATTTCTGTTATAAAAGTGAACTGTACTTACGTAATGATGCTGATATTCAGTCTAATCTCTTGGCAAACCTCACTACAAAGTATTACCCCTTGTCTCTTGTTGTCAGTTGTCAGGGTAGCAGATCTCTACCTGTAGCATCCTTGGCCATTTCCACAGCATGTTCTCTCGTGGGGTGTTCTGCTTCACTGAGAGGTGTGGTGACCCTGAAATTCTTGATGTTATTAGTTTACACACGAGTTAAGTTTTTCCTGAAAAAAAATATGGCCATGTCTGCATTAAATTATAGAGAATAATTCAAGCATCCAGTAACTCTGCTCCTTCAGCTTGTGGCTGGGGCACCTCAGTGCTGTGATGCAATTACAGTGTCCAAGATCAGCACTGCTTTGATAAATGTCTTGAGCACCAGCATAATGCAGGTGGGTCATACTGCTCAACTTGATTCACTGTAGATCTTCCAGCACAGTTAGACTACTGAATTATTTCTTTCATACCTACAATGCACCACTGTTAGTGTTAAATAACTAAGCATTGCAGTGTGCATGGTATAATATGCACAGTTAGTGTTTATTATTGTAATCCAGTTGCTGTCTTTGTTATCACATTCCAGGGCTTCCAGCATTGGCAGAGTCCTTCATGTTTTATAGCTGTGGTTTTTAGATGTAGACTGGCATACCTAAAGCCATTGTTTGAACATGGCATTTAAGGATGACTTATTTAACTTGAGAGATGCCAGTAGAAATGTTAGTGTTAATGTAGGAGTTACCCAGAAAATTGAGCCTTTTAGAATGAAAGTTACTGAGAGAATAAAGTTTATGTGAACACTTATCTAGGCTGAAATTACCTGATTTTTTGGTGATGCCTTGGGGTAGGGTAGATGAGATCTAATAGTAGCAGGTACTTGGATATGGAGCTGGAAACAGACACTTGGAATTATGTCAATTTTTTAATGCTTTGTAAAAATCTTTCTGGAATAGTATCTTCAGATATAATTAAATTGTTCCTACTGTGTTAGTGGGAATCCACTTAGATTTTTAAAAATAATAAATGTTGATAGATTAGAACACTGTGACTTTGCATAGCTGGATGTGTTTATCCCTTTGAGTGAGGATGGTTTGTGCAGAGATCTGGTAATTTCGCTCTGCTATGAATCAGTTTCAATTTGGAGTGATAACTGGTAAAAACCATTTTCATAATTAAATCAAATAATCTTAAAAGATTCCCCTCCACCACATGTTAAATATATTTTCCTAGCTTTTTTCCCCACAGAGAATGAGGTTTTTTTGTGTAGTGCTTTTGAGCTCAAAGCATGGTTTGGTGTCTCAAAAAGCAGAATGCAGATTTATTATGGCTCTAATACTGTGAGAACGAATCTGACTAAAGCTCCGACTTTGCATTTGTTGGTATTTTTTGTGTGAACTTCCTGATAGGTAGGTGCCACATTGTCTAAGAACACATTAGCCTGAGGACTGTAACTTGAACACGATAAAATAATCTTGACCATATTAGACTTACCTGTCAGAAGTAACTTTTAAAATATTTTGTAATTTAGTGTGCTAAATTGCTGCAGCACTTGTCAATCTCTAAAGAGCACAGCCTTTGACAGCACTTCCTAAGCATTTGGCTTAGTGTCTTCTGGCATTTTTGGGTAAGACTTAAAAAGCTGCAATTTATAGGGACACTGGTATTTAATCAAACATAAATGAAAGATCTACATTGTAATTGAAGTGAATTGGTTCTTCACTGGAATATCATCCTCATGTTAACAGCA